AATTCATCAGTTTTCAATTTTTATAACTGATACTTTCTATTACTGTTAATTATTTTTATTGATTATTTATATTACAACTATTTTTAGTCATTATTATTATTATTATTATTATTATTATTATTATTATTATTGATTTCTCCTTATTTTCGTCAATTATCCAATTATCCAACATCTAATACAATAATGATTTGAAAGAAAATTAATTAATTTAATTTTAAATAAGTAATAAAAATAATATATTATTGAATAGCATAAGCAGTAAAGTATCATGATATTAAAGTGATACAATAATTTTTTTAAGCAATTAAAAACTTGTATTAATCAATTGTACAAAAAACTTGTAATTTAAAGTGAGGGGTAAAATAGTAACGCTCGTACGAAAACCTTTGTTAAAATTTATTTTGACGGGTAACGATAACAAAAGCCGTAATAAAATAGCAATAACATCATTAAAATAGTCATAATCCTTAGATTATCATGTTATTAAAGTTATTTTTCCTATTTTTAGTTTGGCATTAAAATGTCATAAGTCGAACAAATTTGTAATAAAAATTTTTTAGATCGGTTCAAAAAAGATAAATTGGTTCAAAAAGAATAGATCAGTTCAAAAAGAGTAGATCAGTTCAAAAAAGATAGATCAGTTCAACAAAAAAAATCAGTTACTGTATACATATTTTGGATAGCATTTAGATTTCAAGTCATAATATATTTCCAGAAAATTTTCAATCGAAAGTGTCAACATTTATAATTAAATCTAAAATTAATATATATTAATTCATATGTCATATATATGTATTTGTTTATCGATAAATTTATATCTTCTCTGTTCTGAGAACAACTTTATCTTTAAAATTATGCACAGAACATTCTTATGTTTGCTTCAAATATTTGAAGATTAGTTTGAAACATAAATTTTCGAAGATTCTTCCGAATAATTAAGAGTAAACAAATTTTAAATATATTCTAAAATTTATATTGGAATCGAAAATTTAAATTTGCATATTTCAAGTAAAAGCTTTTTTATTTTTGTTCATCCATTTTAAATCAATTCTACATTGGTGTTAAAATTCATACTTTTGATTTCGAATTAATGCTTCCAATTGATGCTAGGATTTTCAGCACAATAATTGACCTTTAATTATTCAATGTTATTAATTCAATATTTATAAAATGCATTTGAAATGAATAAAAAAGTGTCAACTTACTAATTAGCATATTTTTTCCATATTTTTATTCAAATTTGCTAATGCTTTGAATATTTTTTGAATAAGTGAGTAATGAGCAAGAAGATTATTTCCTTCTTTTTCTCTTCTCAATCGTTATTGATACTTCATTTATTCGGACTTAATTTAAAATGCATATTTTAATAACTTTCATTCATATTTTTTCAGTAAACAAAAAGTCTATCACAGAATAAATTTTTAGCATTTTTTGAGAACTATTCAATCAAAAGCTGCGATGTATGAATAATTTAAAATAATTATCAGTTCATTTTTCAGATCAGATTTTGATTTCAGGTTTTGTTTTTATCAGCCTGAAATTGTGTTTTATTTTTGAAAAGAAAATTTGTAATTGAAATTTGTATATGTGTACATATTTTTCACGTAATTAAAAAGTTCTTTAATTTTAATAACTTTAATTTCAGTTTAGCTACAACATTTTTAGCTTTGTACTTTAGTGCTAAAGTAAAACCTTTAGCAAAATCCTTCTAATTCTAATTTAGAAGATTGCATTTAATTATAATAATCTCTAAATTGTGTTGAATAAATTTTAAAAAATTGTTATCAAATTGCTTTACCAAATATGAAAGTTTTATTTATTGAACAATAAACGTATGATTAAACGTTGAAGCTATTAATATGAATTGTTAAAAAGTTTTGCAATAATACTTTTCTTTCCATTTTTCGCATTTGAAATTATCAGCAAATCACAAAATATTTTCGAGAGTTTTATGAATAATTTATTTTATAACTATTATTATTGTTAACATATGACGTAAGTTTGTTTTCAGAATTCATTTCAAAAAGTTTTTCAGTAGTATCAAATATCAACTTAAAATTTTAATTGAGTTACTTAAAACTTTTTAAGCATAAATAAGAAAATAACGCATAACTTTTCAAGTATATAAATAAGCATAACTTTTGAGGTTTAAATAAGCATAACTTTTTAAGTATAAATAAGCATAACTTTTTAAGTATAAATAAGCATGACTTTTGAAGTATAAATAAGCATAACTTTTGAAGTATAAATAAGCATAACTTTTGAAGTATAAATAAGCACAACTCTTTAAGTATAAATAAAAAAATAAAAAATACTTTTTTAGTGTGACAGAATTTTATCCGAATTACCATCGTATCATTTATTATTAACGCGTTTTTGTTTATAAAAAAAGTATAAAGTGACTAAATATTTTAAAAATTGTCTGACTTTGTGTGATTAAAAAAAATGATTGCAAGTAAAAAGGTAATAATTGCAAAAAATTATGCAAATAAGAAAGTATAATTTAGGTGTACTTTGTACAAAATTCATCATCATGCGGCCATGTTACGCATACGATCAGAGTATTATTATTTGCTCGCTGTATTCACAGTTTTATACATTTTCTGTTTTTTTCGACTAAAATTTGCTTCATCTAATTTATCGGTTAGTTTTTTATATATTATATTTATTTTAAGTACATAAGTATTTTCATTTTTTTCCGTCAAAATTTGCAATAAAAAAAAGATTATAGTTCATGATTTTCTATAACTAATTCAAATACACTTAAACTGAGTTAGCATTACTTTTTCAAATTAGTAAAAAGTTTAACATGATGAATTTTTTAGATTTAATTCGATATAATTTTGATTTTAAATTCAATCAGTTTCTGACTACTTTTGATCATGAAGAATTTGAACTAATTTAATTTATAATTTTGTGTTCAGTATTTACTTGCACTTACGTTCAGTTTTACAGCAATTGATATTAGTATGAGGTAAAGAATAGAATGTATTATATTATCAAATATCTTTATAATTATTAATTTTGCAAAATCATGAAAAAACTTTTTTTGAGTGCATTGAGTTAAAGCTTTGTTTAAATTTGCTAGTTTCAGTCTTTTATTTATTAATTATGATTTTAATTAATGATAGCATAAAACATGGATCTATTATATGTAAAGCAATATTTTTTATTATAAATTTTTTGTATAAATAAAATGAGAAATACAAAAATAATTTGAAAATTTTCAGTTACCAAATTTGGAATTGCGCATGCTCAAGCATGACGTGGAAGATTTGAAGAAACTTATGCAAGTGGAGAGAGAACAGATTGTTCTACTGGGGCAAGTTTTTAATTTTATGCTTAAAAATTTTACGCTTAAACTATTAAAATATTCGTTATACATCGGACTACTCTTTTATTTATTTTTTAAATTAAAAAACTTCATTTTCAGTTTTGGTAAATAATGAATTATAATTGTTTATTCTTAAAAATTCTGTGATTTATTCATAATTTGAAATTTTATCATTAATTCGCTATAGTTATCTATATTGTTCTTAAAAATCATCAAATTTGTTGACAATTAAAAGTTAATTTGTTGACTCTTCCGGCAGGTTATTCAAACATTTTTTTTTAATAATACCCAGTTTTTCAAACATTTTTTTTTCAAAATATGAGTTTCATAAAATATTAATTAGCTAATTAGTGGAAATAAAATATTAATTAGCTAAATTATTAATTAGCTAATTAGTGGAAAATTAAAAAATTTAAATTTGCAATTCTAAAATTATCATTTTACTTGTTAATAATAATCAGTATAATATGAAGTGCTGTTATATTTTTAGCCAAGAATTCGATGAAATTAAGAGAAAAAATGCTGATAAAAATATTATTGGTAACTCTAAAGTACCGAGTCAAATGGCACTAACTCTAAATATCTCCTTGTCTAATAAACCACAAAAATTATCACTACCTAATCAGTGGACTCTTCCGATCACCATTTTGGTATTCGTATGTAATCGTCCGAAAGCTATTAAAAATCATCTACAAAAATTACTCAGGTTGTTTTAAGACTTTTTATTTTTATCGAAATAAGCAAATGAGGTCACAAATTGATTTGTTTGGACGAAACTTTTTTTCTCGCACCAAAAAAACAATTATTTTTGTAAAAAATATGAGTTCATCTATCGACATATATTATAATTCTCTATGGAATAAACTAAACAAAAATTGAACGTAGCTGGCGCAAATTAAACGTAGGGATAAAAATTAAACGTAAGGCGCGCGTGAAGTATGGTCTTATACAAAATTAGAGGAATAAAATACAGAATTTTTGTACTTTTGTTGTTTTATGATATATCTTTTGTAGATATTTACTCTTCGTTTATCAGGATTGAGTTTGATTGTCTTTAAAAATCGAATGAGGGATAAAAGTAATAAAAAATATCAATTTTAGGTATCGACCTTCAGTTGAAAAGTTTCCTATAATTGTGAGTCAAGACTGTGATGATGAGAATGTAAAAGAAACTATTAAAAAATTTGGTACCGATGTTAATTATATTAAGGTAATGAACTGCATTTTTTAATACAAAAATAGAAATAATTAAAAATTTTAAAATAAAAATATCATTTCTAATAATTAGCGCCAAAATTTGAAAATAATTCGGATAAATATGCACAAATTGACAAAATTGCAATAAATTATTGGTGAAAGTGATACAAAGCTAAGGAAAATGTTAAAGTATTTTATACATTTGAGTAGTAATATAGTAGATATTTATATTTTTGCAACTGATTATTTTATTAACTTTATGATTAAAATGGCAAAAAATATTAATAAATGATTAAATTCACAAAATCTGTTCATAAAAAACGACAAGTATGAAATATATTGCAAATATTGTTAGTTTTATTATGATTACTGATAATATTATCTGTTTGGGCTTTATAATAATTATCTTTCAAAAAATCAGTGGCTATTGGAATGCATGGCTTTTTTACTTGCCTTTTTAAACATTCTATCTTCATAAAATATAAAAGAGCCATTATTAAAAAGTTATTTTGTATGCTTGTAGCCATCTAAAAATAAGATCGAGAATTCGGAAAAAATAGCTTCATGTCATACGGTTTTTATTTGAATCATAATATGAATTGAAGTAAACCAGATTAATATTGCTGATATCAGTAACCATAAGAATGATAATAGCAGTATTGACGGTAAAAATAATAATAATAATAATGAAGTTAATGATACTACAGCAACATTAACAGAAGAATAATAACTTTGAAATCATTAACACTAACAGCAGTGAAATCAGAATATCAGAAATAGTAGTAACTGCAACACCAGTGTATCTCAATAAAAAAATCAGTAGTGATAATGATAATAATAAATGACAACCAACAGTGATTGATAAACAGAAGAGTTAAATAATAAAAAATAATGATAATAAGTATTATCATTATAAGTGCCAATACAGTTATTATTATTGTTATTAAATAGTAACAATAATTATTACTATCACTTTTTTGTGGCAGCATACCAGTAGCCAAAAGGCCCGAATCACAGTCTTGCCAGGACATCAACGATTTGTAACATATTATCGAATAGCAAGACATTATAAACTTGGTTTATCCTATGTGTTTGATAAACTGAATTCTTCTACTGTTATCATTACAGAAGGTCAATTAATTTTTAAGAACATTTGCGAGAATTTGAAAAATTGATAAAATTTCAGTGTGATTATCAGAAATTTTAATCTAATTAAATTTTAATAAAGTTAAAATTCATTTTAAAAAATTGGTATGCAATAATCAAAATTATAGATGATTTGGATATAGCACCTGATTTCTTCGAATACTTTAGCGCTACACGTCATTTATTAGATTTGGATGAAACATTGTATTGTGTATCTGCATGGAATGATAATGGTAAATCATATTTAATTGACATGAAACAACGTGAACTATTATATCGCAGTGATTTCTTTCCTGGACTTGGATGGATGATGACGAGGTCAAGATTATGTTCAGTTATTGCTTAATTAATAAGAAGTGATTATTAGTATACCGAATAATAATGCTAAATACTGAATAGTAATGCTAAATGTAAAGATTGTTTTAAAATTAATTAGAAATTGCTATGGGATATAAGTTTAAATGAATATCATCATCTCATCCAAGTATTTTATCGATGACTGCGAGATTTTGAGTATTTAATTGAATTTGAAATCAGTACAGGTAAAAAATAGACGTTATGATTAATAACGATAAATAACAATATTGTTGAAGATTGTATTTGTAGATT